GGGGGGGGGCTCCCAGGGGGTCCCAACCCCCTCCCTGGCTGCCTCAGCACCCCCAAAACAGGGATGAGGAAAGAGAAATATGCTGGTTTATTTCTCACTTCCTCCAGAAGCAGGAGGTGGCAGGAGGAGGTGGCAGGAGGAGGTGGCAGGAGGAGGTGGCAGGAGGAGGGAGCAGCTGGAAGGGCTGACGTCAGGGGCAAGATTAAAAGGGCTAAATCTGGAGGGCTTGACTCAGCAGCAGCTGAAGGGCTGGGTGATGGTGCCCTGAAGGCATTTCAAGGGACATCGGGGTGTGCTGGTGCCACCCAACACCCCAGGGAGGGGCAGATGCTTTAGGGACCCTCAGCTGAACGGTGGCACCAGCAGGTTGTGCCCAGCAGGACCTGCTGGGTGCTCTGTCACCCGGGTCACCCAGCACCTTGCCCAGAGCTCAGTCCTGGGAGGAGCAGCTGATGGTGGAGACATTCCCTGATTCCCAGGGATCCCAGCCCTGGCACGAGGCAGCTCCAGGCTCAGACTTGCTGCTCCATCTTCTCATCACCACCTGCTCTTACAGAATCACAGAATCTTGGGGGTTGGAAGGGACCTGGAAAGCTCCCCCAGCCCAGCCCCCCTGCCAGAGCAGGGGCACCCAGAGCACATCACACAGGAACGTGGCCAGGGGGGTTGGAATGTCTCCAGAGAAGGAGACTCCACAGCCTCTCTGGGCAGCCTGGCCCAGGGCTCTGGCACTCTCACAGCAAAGAAGTTCTTCCTGAGATTCCCATGGAACCTCCTGGGCTCCAGTTTGCACCCACTGCCCCTTGTCCTGTCACTGGACATCACTGCACAAAGCCTGGCTCTGTCCTCCTGACACTGCCCTGAACAGATTTGTGCCCATGGATGAGGTGGCCCCTCAGTCTCCTCTTCTCCAAGCCCAACAGCCCCAGCTCCCTCAGCCTTTCCTCAGCAGGGAGATGTTCCCCTCCCTCCAGCATCTCTGGGGCTCTGCCCTGGGCTCTTCCCAGCAGTTCCCTGTCCTTCTTACATGTCCCTGTCCCACCACTTGGGTCACCCTCTGTGGCCTGGGCACCCAGGACCCCATTATAGAAGGGGTGGGAGATGGGACCAGCTTGTCCATGGTCAGTGTCCACCTGCTCCACAAAGCTCCGGGGCTGACAGAGGAGCAGGAACCCAGCAGGGGAGGGGAGAAGGATGTGGGGAGCAGAGGAACTAGGTATGGAAAGAAACTTCTTCACTAAAAGGGTCATTAAACACTGGCCCAGAGTGGTGGTTGAACCCCCAGCCTTGGGGGTGTTTCAAAGCCATGTAGATGTGGGGCTGAGGGACCTGGTTTAGCTCTGGACTTGGAAGAGTTCATGGTTGGACTGGATGGCCTTAAAAGACCTTTCCCCACCAGAAGGATCCTGTGGATTCACACAGTGAAGGTGGGCAGAGGACACAGTGTCCCCAAGGGACAGGGGCAGGTTTTGCCCCTCTCTGCCCCCCCCCCAGCCCCTGCTGGGACATCTCAGGCTGCAGAGGAGTCACCCAGGGCTGCACCAGCCCCTTCCCACACCAGGATTTGTGCTGCACCCCCAGAGTGACCCCCAAGCCAGGCAGGGACCCAGAACCTCCTTCCCCCCCCTCAACCAACCCAGTGATTCCCATGAACCCAGAGACACCAGGTCCCTTCCACCAGACAAGGGTTTATTCAGAATTAACACTTCAGGACAAACAGGAATTTCCTCCTCCCCTCCCCCTCCACTTCATAGCATTATTACATCTTTTATAAATAAACATTTAGTGCTGGGAGCTCTGCCAGCTTCACTGACAGCAAAGTGCTTCGTGGTGCAAGGTGGGAGGTTGACCCCAGCCCTTTTCTCCCCAGGACCATCTTGCACCAGTTTCCAGAGTCCAAATCCAGCAGAGCAGGAGATGAACCCCATAAAAGTGCTTGAGATCTGACAGAGTCACATCCCTGGAGGGCAGGGACTCATCCTTCAGGGCTGGGACCAAGGAGCCTGCACTCCAGGACATCCCCCTGTCCCAGAGTTGACCCAAAAGCCCCTGGTTCTGCAGAGCCAATGGAGGGTCCTCCCCTCTCCTCCCAGCCCCAAAAGAAAAGATAAAAGTCCAGGAAAAAAAGCTACAATTTCCTATTTCAGTGTCATCCTTGCTGGGCAGCAGGACTCCCTCCTTCCCAGGGCAGCCCAACGTGGCCCAGAGCAGGTCCCCAGCCTGGAGTTGGTGTTGAAGGAGACAAAAATCTGGGGGCAACCACCACCCTACAAGTAGGTGAGGAGGTGGGTTTGAGGGGCAGCAGGGTCCCAAAGCCTCCCAGGCAGCCCTGGTCCCACAGGGAGCTGAGTGCTGGGGATCTGCAGTGGGTTTGTCACCACCTGCAGCCTGTGCAGGGTGATGGCCCCAGTGAGTCACCCCAAGGAAGGGCTGTCCCAGCAGCAGTTTCCTTTCCCAGCCCCTGGGCCCCTCTGCTCCCAGGCATGGATGAAGATGATGCCAGTGCTGGGACAAGAGCCACCACCACCATGTGCCACCAACTGGGCTCTATACTGGTGACCCCTCCTTAGGGACACCTGGTGCCAGCAGGTGGCTGGGACACAAGTGTCCTCCCTTGCCAGTCTTCTGCTTGGCCCCACCAGCACAGGGCAGAGGACACTTCTCTGCAGGCAGAGCAAACCCTGAGTCCCACCAGCCCCACCTCAGTTCTCCTCCTTCCCCTCCGTGGGGCCAGAAGCCTCAACGTGGGCTGCTCCTACACATTGCACACCATGAAGGTCCCTCAGGACCTGGGAGCTACTCATAAATAGGGAACTACAGACTATTTTGCTTCATCCAGGCAGCTTACACAGTACAGGGTTGGGGGGAAAAGGGCCACAGACACCCCCAGGGGACACCAGCAGTTGTCCCCAGGGCAGAGGAGCTGAGCCACATCATGGCTTGGGCTTGTCAGGCTTGAGCTTCTCATGGACAATCCTCCTCTTGGAGCTGTAGAAGTCTGGAGGGCAGAGAAAGAGGGTTGGAAAGTGCCTTCAGCCTGCTGGGAACAGTGGGGCAGGAAGAGGGAGGTGTCCCCAGGGAAGCACCTCAAATCCCAGCCCAGGTGAGCTCCATCTTACACCCACCCACCCCAAGTTCCTGTAAGGAAGGGCATGTGGGTCTTCACCATCCCTTCCATTTTGTTTCATCTCAGTTTCCAGCCCAGGCCCTGATCCTGGAGGACCTCAGGCCATGGGAACTGAGAGTGATGAACTGTCTTGGGGCATCTTCAGCTAGAAGACCCACAAGCCTGATGTGAACCTCCTGCCTAACCCTCAGCAACTAAAAGGCACCCAAGTGTGTGGCCTTTTCCCCTTGGAAAGTGGGCTCTGCTCCTCCAGGAGGGAGATGCACGGAGGGTGGTCCTCTCCTCACATCCAGGCAGGGCTCCTGCACCCAAGTGCCCTCCATCTGGCCCTGCCAGGACCCCAGTGATGCCACCAGGCACACATGGGGTGGCACCAAAACCTCCAGCACTCACCTGTGAGGGTGCTCTGCCCACGTTTCAAGCTCTGGGGAGAACCAGCCCTGTAAACATTCGAGCTCTGCTGAGACCCCTCGGGGCAAATCCTGTCCAGATGGTCCATGGAAGGGACCTTGTGGACCAAGGAGCTCCTGTTCTCACTGGCCCTGACCAGGCTGTGGAGCTCCCGGGCTGGCTGCTCAGCCAGGAAGACCCTCTCCCACACGAAGGGTCCTTCCAGGGGAGTCTCCTTCTGGAAGTCGAAGTTCCAGCGCTGCTGAGCCTCCTCCAGCTCCTGCCTCAACAAGTCCTCGAGGTCATCCTGGAGCTGCTGATGGTCCACGGGGCCGAAGAGGTTCCTGCACACTTTGCTGCTGCACGGTGTCTGCCCAGCCCTGCTGTGGGACAGGGGCATGGTGGTGGCTGGGGGGGGAAGCAGAGGGTTACTGGGGTGCTGGGCAACCTCTGAGCGAGCCCCAGGACCTTGAGCTAGCAGGACAGAGCACGTGGTAGCCAAGGTGGGACAAGCTGGGTTGGGCTCTGGGTTGACCCAAGGGGACCTCCATCTGCAGGACAGCAACAGCTGGGGTTGTAGTGGTGGCTTGGGCAGGGGCTTGAGCACGAGTGAGGGTCCAACCCAGCCTGGTGTGACACAGAGAGACGAGGAAGGTGCAAAACGTTGACGTTCCTCATCCCTCCTCCAGCAGGCAGAGCATCCACCCCCTCAGTGCTGCCACCAGCTCCTCCACAGCCCCACGGCCACCCAGGCAGGAGGGTGAGTGAAGCAACAGGATGGTTTTGTGTTTTTTTTCTGGCCAGTTTCTTCACCTCGAGCACCCAGGCCCAGTGGCAAGGAAACCATTGAAGCAACTGCAAGAACCTGCCACAAGCTTCACCCCTGAGCCAACCAACCAACCAACCACCCCGTGAGCTGCAAGAAGCTGTTGGGAAACCAGAGATGAGCCCCTGTTTGTTTGTTTTGTTTCAAATCGGTGCCCAAAGCCTTGACCAAAGCCTCTTCCTTCCCCACAGGCTTGTGTGGGGCAACTGGACCCCCCCACCAACCCTGGTTAGGAGGAACCTCCTTATCAGAGCAGAGCAAACAACCCTCTGGGATTTGGTGGCTTTCAGAGCCAAGGTTTGACCTCACCTGATCCACCAGGCTCCTAAAATCTGCTTTAAAAACAAATCCCTGCCTGCAAGGGCAGCTGGTATCACTGCCCCCCCCCCTCCCCAATCTGGGACCCCCCCAAAACCAGGACCACAACAGATCCCCAGCCTCCTACCCCCTCAAACATCCCCAGGGATGTGGGGTGTCCAGCCTCCTGCAGGGAACATTTCTCCCCAAATCCAGGCCCCTCAGCCCCTGCTGTGCCACGTTCCTGGGTGCCCCTCGGGCAGGGGGTGCCAAGGGGGGGACCCCCCCACCCTCTGCTCTGCTCTCCCAGCCCAGGCTGAGCATCCTGGAGTAAAAATAGCAGCCCAGCTCCCGATCTGCTGGCACTGGGAGCGCTGAGACAGGGTGACCTCATCCCCAGGCAAGTCCCAGCATGTCCAGGCAAGCCCTGGCAGGTAGAGGCAGGGGACACGTTGTCAC